AAGCCATAAGCAGAGGAGAAGACAGTGTCTGCTACTGACACCAGCCAATTTAGCTTACATCAACTGGCTCTTCGTTCTCAAATCCCTTATCCCTGAGTATCGCTTTGACTCACGAAAACGTATTCCTCTTCGTTCGCAGATCCCAAGTGCCAGGTCTCTGGTAAGTCCTTCCGGCGTCCCATTACTCCAGCTCCCCTTTCACTCTTCTCTGACCGTTCAGCCCAATCTTCTTTTTGCAGTTGCTGCTTATCGTATTTTATTTTGCTTACATCAAAAGCCTAGCTCACGATTGCCACGAGAGCCTTCACTGACAGTTCGGATCAAATGAGATACTTGAACCATTCGAATTCCGTCAATTCCTAACCGGCTCAAGTATCCGTGGCTAAAATATTTGCCAATTTGGGACCAGCCGGACAAGATCTAAGAACGACAAAGTTCAAACTAGCTCGCACTGGTTGAGACGGGCTGACTAATGCCTATAAAGAGGTTAATGGACTTGCTGGAAACCGTTCGACGATAAGGGATCGGTAAAAATACTTTACGACTGTAAGGGGGGTTCCAAGGTCGCCTGCACAGGAGCTACATGAGTTTGGCCTCTGTGAACGAGAAGGCTTGATATGAATTCAGGAATGCTGGAGAGAACTTAAGAAGCAAACTGACTAGGAATTCCCTTGCCATCATGGAAAACTGGAGTAAATCCACCTTCGTTTCGAGTGAGCTTCAAACTTGTCAAATGCCCCTACAGCTCCTGAAGTCCTCCAGGTCTCCGAGGAGCAACCTCAGCCTCCCATGATCCTGCCTGTTTCATCTACTACTAGTGAACGAGTGGGGAAGTCGGTTGGACAATTGTCTGGGAGCCGCTATAACCCCTGTTCCTTCACTTTCTTAATGTAATAACGCATCATAACAATTGTTTCAAGGCCCCACCCATATACGTATCGTACCTGTCTGCAACCACACCCATCACAAATCATTGAATACCTGTTTGAGGAGTTTTTCACGTTTTTTCGGACCATTCCCTATCACAAGGGACTATAGAAAACGATGAGGATTGGTGATCGCGTGAGCAATCAACTGTATAGAAAATCTAATGGGGAAAACAAGTCATAGGACTTGTTTATCCTGCTCGTCACCATTTGTTTTCTGATCCACCAAAGGTCTGCTACATAAAAGGTCATGGGTGTACTCTCACCAAAGATTTCATTTGGAAGAGTGACGAGAACCCTCGTGGGATTACCCATGGGATTTGTCAAATGTTAGCCGCTGTTTTGGCTGATAGCCTCTATAAAAATAGGTCAACTAGCGGCGCTAAACAGAGACTAGCCGCTGAACTGCGCGATACCAGGTGCCAGGGATGTCCTTGGTGCCAGCTGAACCCCAATCAAATTAACAGATGTTCGAAGTGGTAGCGGAAGACATGTCATTCAAAAGCTTATCAAACATAGAAAGTCGAAAGTGGTAGAGGAGCAAGTGACGACCTATCACAGGCGCATGGTCATGGGTTCGAATCCTGGATCGATACCCGCTTAAGCCAACTGGGGCCTTTCATCCCTCCGGGGTTAGTCAGTTGACACCTCACGCTTCGAACGTATAAACTCACTGTCCTGTTATCGAATCACCGATCGATACTCACCCAAGCTAACAAACCTCCCATCCATCTTGGTTCTGTTTATTGGTACCAGATCGTCTGGGAGGATAAACGCTTGTAACTGGCTGGCCATTACGACTTCTGCTATAGGCCACATACGCCTTCAAAAAAGCGTGAACGATTCTGAATAAAAGTCAAGTGCGGGGCGCATTCCGAAAAAGACGGACTGGATTGAACCCAAAAGAGTTGTTCTTCAATCCCTGTCCGCGTTTTCTGAGCTGAGCCCTTCCAGCTCTAATGACTAGCTGTACCCTTGCGCGTCGAGAGTGAGTTAAGATTCTCCCTTAAAGTTTTTCATAGGCCGTTATAGTGGTTCTACCAAGGCCTGGGAAAGTTCCCATTGAGATGTTTATCTCTATTTGTTTCTTCTCTGGCGAGACCTGTATACCTATTAGAGCGTGAACAAACAATGGCAGAGCCCGTTCGACGAAGTGTTCGGCTGGGGAAGGGAGGAGAAAGTGTTCAAGGGAGGCTCTCGATGGGAAACTCAGTGTCGCCCTGTTTCTGTGAACAAATGTGTCTATGAATTTCCCAGAATCTCCGGTTAAGATGGCCAATGGTGTTGACCTTTTGTTGGAATGTTTAGCCCTTCCAAAGCTTTCTCCCCAGCTGGGCGAATGTGGGCGATTCTCCCAAGGGGTATGTACTGCTTGAGAGAAACCACTGAAATTCTATGGCTGCTATAGAGCCATAGAATTTCAGTGGTTTTTACCCCCAATGTTTATGGGCACCCAAAGCCCCAAATAGTTTCTGTGAACTAGAAAAAACTGTGAAACTTTCCTTTCCTTCCTTGAAGCTAATTGATGAGCGTCATAAATATTGCCTTTAATTGTTTGTTTACTTTCCGCAAGGCTTCAGTAAACAACACATCCAAATAGAAAGTCGTACTATTTTGGTCATCCACAGCTGCTCGTATGGGTGATTCAGATGTTGAGAGTGGCGATGATCGCCATCGCACTGTCACGAACCACTTGATCTCTTCCACAACAACTCGAAAGAGTTCTATACAACGGGTTGTCCAGTCACCTGAGGATTTCTCATCTTCTGAAGAATTTCGTGAGAGCGTCGAACAAATTCATTCGTTGCACGTCAGAGCTTCGTTGAGAACTGGCTTGGAAATTTGCATTTCCGGTAACTTCCTTGCACTTAGTTCGTGCTAGTACTGATGCAATGCTGATGTACTTTGCTATATGTTCATTGCTCTGAGAAGAAGGGAAGTTTCCTGAGAGAAAGGGCATATTGCCTTCGCTCAAGCGGAAAATGCACGGATACACTTCTAGCTGGAGGATAGCACATCATCCTTCACAAGTCAGATTAGGGAACAACTCCTACGTATACGTTCCGCGGTGGTGGATAGGGGAATGGACTTTTCGGCGAGGGTGGTATAAAACCGGATAGGTAGGCTACTTCCAGAAAATTTCCAAATATCCGAAGTATTGGTTATTGCAGTGCCAGCGGCGTCATGGTTCAGCGTTCAAGAAACATAACCCGAGACAGTCACCCTTAAACAACTGGCCNNNCAGAGTCATTTGAAGGGTTTTCTTACTGACTTGTACACCAAATCAAGGGAGCAACTCCTTTGGGTACCCTAAATATGCTTTCAAATACCGCAGCGTTTCTGGAAAGGAATCGAGTATGTGATGCATTACGAAACAAATTGGAAAGCTTCATTTTCATGGTCGAGATTCTTTCTCGGTGCACATAGCCTTTTAATCTGATGGAGTTTGTGTATACATTTGTTTTAGGCAATTCATCTAATAGCGTAAAGGTAAGGTACCAAGGAGCATCCCTTCCACGCATGCGATCGGGAAATCGAATCACAGGCCATTAGCTGCTGAGTTCACTTTTTATCGGTCTGGTGATACTAGACCTGTGAGGAAGGGTGAAAAAGTTGGCTTGCACCTCTGCTGGTACCGGCAGGTCATCATATCGGTCGAATACCTATTCAAATGACGCTGCGAGTATAAGTAGAAGTCGGATGCGTGGCTGCATCTCGAAAGGGAATTCACCAATACCAAAACTTTTCATTTTCAGTCATCCTCAAGAGTATCAGGCTACCATTATCATAGGTGACCCTAAAAATCATTATCATTCGGGTTCATAGAAGTCTAATCATTCCAGTGAAATAGTCATCTGTTGCCTTCATGTCTTCTCTTAATTCTTCCTCAACTTGTTATTTTCGCCAATTTTCTATTTTTATTTTTACTATTTTTTATTTTTATCATTTCTGTTTTTCTACGTATATTTTCGCCTATTTCCTAAATCGTTCCTTTTCAGATACAAGAAATTGGCACTCAAATGGCATCCCGACAAGCATCCCGAAGAGAAGGACAAGGCTATGGCCGAGAAACAGTTCAAAAAGATCGCTCAAGCCTATGAGATCCTCTCTGACGGTAAGCTTCACGTTGCAGCTGCAAAAATGCGCTATTCCAAGAATGTGATTGTCTCCTGTTCCGAGAAAAAATCTCTCACGATGGGGAAAAAACCGCCGCTGACGACCAGCCAGCCAGCCGCCAGGGGGACTTGGACGGGACCGGTTATTTTAGCGGGACTTCCGTACAGCTCAGCGGGTGAAAAGCTCTCTCGTTCTTTTCAACCGACGCGACCGCTACCAGCTTCTTCGTGGTCGCTAAATATTTGTCGAAGTGATCAGTCGCGTTCCATCAGTAAAGACTACCCGACGCCCCAGCTAATGGTTACTTTGTACTTAAGGTCGGTGGTTTGTGACTCACCACGTTGTACTGGGGGATTCGGTTTTATTCGCTTCAGGGAACCTCACGAGGGTTAGAATGAACGACAAGGCCAGGGTACGGTAGGAACGATATCCATCGGGTTAACGGATCGGATTTTATCCCTGTGACCCACAACCAGGTTTAGCCAGTGTTAAGTGAAATATAGACTTCTGTAGGAGGGTAACTCCTTCTTACCC